GGTAAATGTTTTTCTTTGCATTTTGTGGGCAGCAACAACAAAACAAAAAAGTGACTATTTTGCTGTAAAAGGGAGTTTGACTGTACATTTGTTATTTATTAATATTTATTACTTTTAGAAACATTTTTAACTGAGAATTGCAGGAAAAATAATGTATGTGGAAATATTGTGATCATTTGTATTCCCAAAGACTTTTGTGAAGCTCAAGTTTTTCCCTGTCTGCTGATTTTGGTATTCTGGTTATACCAGGCAAATTTTGTCTCTGGGGAAGTCCTTGAGCAACAGAATTTGGAATATAAGTGTCATGCAATTGTTTTCTGATTATTCAGTTTGTATATGATTAACCAAAGTAATAAAATAATGAGCATTGCTATCAAATGGAAATGTATGTAAAGTGGGTTTGAGTCTGTTCTCCTATGCCCAGGTTCCCTAATGGTGTAATTTGTTTTGGGTTTGTTTTTTTTTTTTCTGTTTATCTGAAGGGATGCCTGCTTTGCAGCAGAATAAATGAAATTCTACAGGGTTTACCTGGATATTGAATACTAATAAGTCAATGAACTACTCACTTCAGTAGAAAGAGGGTTGAAACATTTCAGAGGACCAAATGGCACGTGAGGAGTTTGACCTCAATTACGCTGACTTTACACCAGAGAAGCTCCGCTTACTTTGACAGAGGCAACATTGATTTCCACGTGTTCAACACCATTCTCACGATGCAAGTAATCACTCACACAGGCCCTCTTTCTGGGCCAGATGATGCCTTCTCCTGAAAAGGCAGCTTTCCTGCTTGGCACACTGAGCAGGTGAGGGTAGCCAAGGGTATCCAGTTCCATGGTATTTCCGTGGAGAGTGACTGCAAGGACAAGGTCCATGCAAGAGCAGCTATTTAGTGTACCGCAGAGGGGAGAAAGGCTCCACGCCAGAAGGAATCTTAGCTGGGCTGATGTTCCCCAAATCTTCTTCCTTCACTGCCTGAGTGTCTCCTTGCAAAGGCCATTCCTTCTCACCCACTTGAACAGCTGAACCTGGAGATGCCCTGGGAAGTTTCGTTGCTCCTGGGGAGAAAAAATGCAGCTCTGAAGGCAGCACGGTCACTATGGCCTCTGCACGCCTCTGCAAGGTGCTTCCAGCTGACTGCAGGTGCCAGGTGGCCTCAGGGCTGTGGCAAGCCTCGCAGGTCGATGGTGCCCAAGCAGAAACCCCCCATCACTGCTACTGTGCCTGCCCCCCATCAGTTTTGCCATCAGAAATGATTGTCCCCAGGCCTGGGGCAGCCACAGGGGTCTGCAGGAGAGTCGAGGAGCCAAGCTGCGCCCTGGGTTGTGCTGGTGGGTTAAACGGCACTACCCAGGTGGACACCAGCACAGCCCCGCTCAGTGGGGGCAGACCAGCTGCTCCCAGCTTTTCAGCACTTCATGCACGGGTGAGTTTTCCATTTCCTCACTAGAGCAGTTGCAGATGACAAACTTTGTAGGCAGCGTGACACCCCAATTAGGGTAAAATGTGCCTTTCCACAGGAGCAGCCAGGCACAGTGCTGATGGAGCAGACAGTCCTCTGAGCAGGGGAACTAAGGGATGAGTCTGCTCCCAGGAAAGCAGGGGCAAAGCCTTCCTCCCGCTGTGGGGGTGGGGAGGCAGAGCCTCCCGCTTTCCTCTGCACAGCGTTCCCACAGCTACTGCTTTCAGGCACAACACCTAGAGTTTAAATGCATGTTTCCCTCAGAAGGCCGAAATCTTTTTTACAATTCTTTGGAAATAACTGCTACACAACAACTTTGGTTCAAAGGTTTGAAATTTAATTAAAAGTTTTCAAAAAGTTTATAGTACCTAATGAGTTGAAAACACTCTGTAAGGCTCTTGGCAATAAACGACTCTTGGAAAGCATCTTGTGAAAGCTTTTTTTTCTCCTTAGGTGATTTGATTTGCATTTCTTTTGTAATCCAGAACCAAAATAAACACTCCAACTTACAAAATAATATGAATGAAAATGTCAGTCTCCTCTGTAGCTTTTGCTCCATATAGAACCATTTGGCAAAGGGAGACCTGATTCAGTTTCTTACAGGCTCAAAATAGCCTGGATGATAAAAAGCTTGGATTTAGGGGTGTATTTTAAGGAATTTTCTAATATTTTAAGGTGAAAGAAGCTGTTCTCCATCTTTTTCCAGCTTCAAGGATAGGACATCTTCCTGGTTGTTTACGGTCCATTGCTGTTAAGCCCTTGGCTTGTTCTGCTTTAGAATTTTGCGCTGAAATCTTCCAGAATCTGAGCTTCACCCAAGATGTCCCAGTGGGACAGTATCCCAGTGAAGACAGTATCCACAACAGTTTTTTTCTTTTCCATCGTAAGTACTTTGTAAATTATACTATCAGTGTTACATGCAAACCCATGAATCTTAGGAGCCTGCTTCAAGTACAGCAGGGTACTAACAACAGGTAACTGACAAAATATCCCCACAGCTCCAAAATTAGAGAAGGAAATAAAGGCGAGTGCAAGGTTTTTGTACTGATACACAATCACATGGCCTCCAACAGTGGAGCTGCTTGCACTACTTGCACCTTGCATCAACTCTGGAAATAGCTAAGGCTAGAATCCAGATGTTAAACCTCACTTCTATGTGCATGTTCTTGGACTTTGGCTATTAAAAATATTTTTTTCACCTAAATAGTGAGACTCGTATAACATCCTTGACAGGAGAGTTGGTGTGGGGTCAGCCACAATGTTTTATCGAACTGTTGTGTTGCTGAAGCCTTTCTGCTGTCCAATAGCAAGGAACGCTGCCATGTGCCACCACCTCATGAACTAACATCTACAAGTATACAAATATTTCAGCTGGCAGTTTTCAAAGACACAGCTTCAGGGGAGAACTTCCACACTGAAAATACAGACAAATAGCACTGTAAGATATAAAAACCTAAGCCAGCCATGACAACGCAATGTCACCAGTTTTATTTATCACAAAGCTACAGAGCTGCTGACCCAGCCTGTATCTGAAGTTCATATCATTATATCATGCTTAGCTTAGTTTAGCTTTTCCTTCTTCTCTAAATGCACTGCTTTTCAACATTTTTGGTAGAAATTATTTCATATTTACTACTCCCTTTCACAGTTATTTCATTCAAACACAGTTTTTCTTTGTTCTTACACTTTTCTAATAGCATAAAACATTTACAAGCAGACTGTTAACTTGTAAAAGATAATCACAATGCAAACCTACATTTTGCTACACACATTACACAACTTATACACTGTACAGACTTGGGAAGAGTGTAATGCTGCTGCTTTAAATGATTAAGACCAGAGTAAAGCTAAGGATGAGCTCTTTCAAGCTGTGTATTAGAGAAGCCTCAACTACTTCTGGCTGTACATAAGGCAGGGTGTGGTTTGAGACATTAAACACAAATCTTTGAAAGAGCTCAATAAAGTTAGATGCTTACATTCGTGCTGAAAGACAATGGGAACTCATCTCAGAATTTCCTGTCAACCTCCCTGAAGCCTCCAGCCATAAAGTACTGCTGTTGGAAGGAAGCACCATGGGCCACTTCCATGGGGACTTGAAACCAGATGTTTATGAAGTCTTAACTGCTCTAGGTCTCCAGGGATCCCTCTGATGCTGAACACCATCCTGTACTGAGGCTGGTAAGGTGGTGATGAATAAAGTTGTTATCATACAGGTTTGTCTGGAACAGCCTCTCAAAAGAGTAAGTCTGGGGCTCCAGGAAAGTTGGAAGGTCTTCCAAACTAAACAGGCTTTCATTCCAGATCCAAGGCAGGGTAAGGTATAAATGGAGATATGCCCTTCAGCATGATCTTGTTGTACCGCATCTTCTCTCTTGTATCTGCAAAAGCGCCTGGAAAGGGTAGGAGCGTAAGGGTCCCACTGCCAGAAAATGGGATCCTGTCCCACTGGCTGGACATCTTCCCAGGGAGAACTTCCAACACAATCCCATGCTGTGGTAGTGCCTGGGGAGAAAAAAAGGAACTCCACAGGGACCCATTTGTGGTTCATTGCTTTCTGAAATGATACGTCTCTGTTTCAGAACTGAAGAATCTCAGTTTACGTAGTGCATTCACAATGTACACAGGTTTACATAGGTTTGACATACATTTTTAAATACAGTGGAAATAGTAAGTAAAAATATATGCATTGAAACAGTACATACACTTGATACACATATATTGTTGGGTCACATTTCAACTACTTTAAATAGCAAACATATATAGCCTCTCTCAATGGTTATTTACTACTCCTTGTTTAAAATAAGTTGTGAAATGTCACAGGGACAACTGTCACGTTGTCCTTCACTAAACATGACAAGTTTGAATAACAGTGGAAAAAATAAAAATACTGCATTGATATGACATGTTAAAGTTCCTGTCAGTTAAAAGCTACTACTTCATATATTTTCAAATATCCCCATTGAAACATGTCTATCTATTTGTATAATTGTCACCTTGCACTGTACATTGCAATACAATGTTTAGCATATTGTAAACTTTTACCAAACAACATTTTAATAAGGAATTGTACAAATATACAGCTATTTATACCACATACATATAAGGCCATTAACATAACAGCAAGATACATATAGAGAACTATAGTCACCAGCGTACATAATGAGCTCTTCTCCCAGTAAGCAATAATCAGGCACACTTCCGATCATCAGCAGTGTGAAGTGAATGCTGAAGTTTGTAACAGGTTTTACTGATGTCTTGAAAGATCAGACAGTGCCAAATGCCGCTTCATCATGCAATGCCATCATGGTACACAATGTCATTAGATGTGCATGGACTCTGTACTGGCTAGCATGAAAGGTTCTTTTTTGAATCAGGTGTGTTACTGAATGAACACCTGAAGCAAATGACTGGTGATAAGTAAGTCCTCAAAGTGAAATCAGTGGTTAGTGTTTTCCCTGTGACTTAAGTGCATGAACACTTAAAACTACACTGGGAGTTTAAATCTAAAAGCCACAGAAAGGTACTTGTCTTGAGGAGGCCTTTACTTACAGAAATTTCCATTGTGAAATGAAGATTCATTTTTCTCAGCGATACACGAGGGAACATTCATCTGTGGGAAATCTTCCTTTGGCTTCTGGGTATTGCTACTGCTGGATTTACTTCGACTGTGATCCGGCGTGGGCTGAATAGGCAAAGATCTGGCCACCTTGGATTTCACCAGGCAGCCACAGACAAGGCGAAAGAAAGCCCGACGCATTTCCTTACTGGCCAGAGTGTAGATAATGGGGTTCATTGCAGAATTGATGACCGCCAGAGCAATAAACCAGTGGGCTTTGTACAAGATAGAGCACTCCTTGACTTTGCAGGCCACATCAATGAGGAACAGGATGAACAGTGGAGACCAACAGGCAATGAAGACACTAACAACGATCACAACAGTTCTAAGGAGCGCCATGGACCGTTCTGAGTTATTGTGGTTAGTGACATTACGACTGCTGGATTTTACCAGGATGTAGATACGGGCATAAAGGATGACGATGGCAACCAAAATGGCTATGAAGATACTAATGCAGAACACAACATACTTCTTGGAGTATAGAGGCAAAATTGTTGAGCAATCTGGTAAATTGTTTCTACAGTTCCAGCCAAGGATGGGTAAGGCACCCAAGGAAATTGAAATAAGCCAGCATGTACCAATTAGAAGGAACACTCTGTACTTTTTATTTGCATCGTAAGGCCTCATTTTAATCATGGTCAAATGCCGCTCAATAGCTATTGCTAGTAAGCTGAAAGTGGAGGCTCCCAGGGCAACAAACATGCTGCCTTCCCTAATGAACCAGATTGTGGAGGACAAGCTCAGAGTTTTCTTCCCAGACATAAGAATGTTTACTTTGTAAACAATCCCAGCTAAAAGATCACAGAGAGCTAGATTGCCAATAAAAAAGTACATGCGATTGTGAAATTTATTGTTTTTCCATATGGCAATCAACACCATCAAGTTTTCCAGGACTATGAAACTACATAGGATCAGAAATGCAATAGTGGACAGGCCTATGCTGTCCTTTTCTCTTGAATTAAGCTTTCCGGTGTAATTATAATGAAGTACGATTAGAGAGTCCATCTCTTCATTTCCTCGAGGGCCAACAAGAGCACTAGGTGGCACAGTAATTGCTGCCATCATTTGTTTGCTGATGCTGAACTTTTCTTCTTTAGTATCACGAGGATTTAGTAACGATAATTTTCCACAAGAGGGAGATCAAGCCACGTTCCTCGAAGCACTCCTCTGGGCACACTGTGGGTATCCTCAGCTCCAGCAAGCCTTGCATATTAGTTCAGGCTCTGAAAAAAAAAAAAATTAAAAAAAAAAAAGCAACATAAATCTCACTGTCTTCCCATGTCACCCAGAGCCTGCGTGTCTGCTCAAGCCACAACATGCACCCAGGAGCCAAAAGGGACGCTGACTACAACAGGGCACCAAGGTCTACCATTGCTGCATGCTTATCAAGGTAGCTGTGGGCAAGCTGTCAGTCATGCTCTGCACAGACTCAGCTGTGCTGCAGAAATACGAGAGCAATGTAGAGAACTGCTCATAGGTGTTACACCTACAAAATTTCCATGCTGAAAAAAATACAGAGAAGAGGTGAGAAGGATTAGCAAACGGTCCCAGCAAGCCCCAGTGTGCATAGCAACCAGCTCAGTCCTCTTCAAAATGACCCAAGTGTAGGCTCTACCAAAACACCACACAACCATCGCTGCCTGAGCAGCAGCAAGGCAAACTCATGGTTTTCAAGGCTCATCCCTGTTCCCCATGCAGACCCAACGGAGAAAAGAGCCTGAGAAAGCCAGCGTCAAGTCTTGATGCCAGTGCACATATTGCCAATGCCTAAAATAACTTTTCCACCTGTAACGGTACAAAATTGTGCTATTTACAATTAATGAGATGCTCTGAAAGCCAGTCATCATAAAACCAATCCTACTTCCCATTCAAATTAGTTGGATTTCTGATACTCTTTCTAAAATAACCATACCAAGTCACATCTTTGTAAATGTTGCCTTCCTTTGCAAGTCTATACAAGACATACATTTGATGTTGTTTTTTTTTTTACATAAAAAATAGTTCTACCAACTTTAATTGTCCTTTTCAATTTATTTCTGTTTTCCTTTATGACTTAGATTAACTGCAATGTTTTCCCACGGACCTTGAGAGGTTGCATTTTCACAGAAGATCCTCCTGGCTGTCTTTTTTCCATTGCCATATATAAACATTGAAAGAGATTTGCACAGCTTTGTAAAAACATCAGAAGATGTCAGGAGCACTTACTGTTTTACCAGAAATGCTACAGTTTAGTTGCTGCATACTCGAGGGAGGATCAGTGCTCATGCCCCAAATGTCTGTATTGAGGATGAACAGATAGTAAATTTTTCAGCTTGGTAACCAAACCAGGATGGGGATGAGGAGAGAACCAGTTCCATCTGAACCAAATAACCAAATTTGTAAGGATATTTTTTTTTTCTGGGAAAGGTAAGAATATAAAAAGTTGTGCTGGATGGGAGGACACTCTTCAATGGACCAAAATGAAATAGCTTACTTTAGGGAATTATTTAAGAGCTAGAGCTCTGGACCTTACCACTTATTTACTCAAGGGTCATGAGCATTTACCAAACACATGAAAGACATTTTCAAAGGATGGGTATCAAGGGAAGAAACTGAGATCTCAATCTCTGCTAGAGACCAGCACACCAATAATTTTCAACCTGCCACCTGTACATCCCAAAGAATATCTGACAGGCCTAGGTTTAATACAGAAAGGTCTCTACTTTCATTGGACCTGTTGGAGTGAGTCTCTGTATCCTGGGCTGCGTCAAAAGAAGTGTGACCAGCAGGTCGAGGGAGGTGACTCTCCCCCTCTACTCCGCTCTTGTGAGACCCTATCTGCAGTACTGCATCCAGCTCTGGGGTCCCCAGCAAGAATCTGTTGGAACAAGTCCAGAGGAGGGCCAGGAAGATAGTGAGTGCTGGAGCACCTCCCCTGTGAGGACAGGCTGCGGGAGTAGGGGTTGTTCAGCCTGGAGAAGAGAAGGCTCCAGGAAGACCTTCTAGCAGCCTTCCAGTACCTAAAGCGGACCTGGAGAGAGATGGGGATGCACTCTTTATCAGGGAGTGTAGTGATAGGACGAGAGGTAACAGTTTTGAGCTGAAACAGGAAAGATTAGATACTAGGAAGAAATTATTTACTGTGAGGGTGATGAGGCACTGGAACAGGTTGCCCAGGGAAGCTGTGGATGCCCCATCCCTGGAGGGGAGGCTTTGTGCAACCTGGTCTAGTGGGAGGTGTCCCTGCCCATAGCAGGGGGGTTAGCATTAGACGGTCTTTAAGGTCCCTTCCAACCCAAACCATTCTGTGATCATATATAATCTTTTCTTAAGATCACAAAAACACGTGAGCCACTGCTGTTCCAGCACGCTGGTCTGGGCACTTGAAAAGTGGGAGGTGCATTTTCAAGTGCCATCTGGAAGAGGGGAGGAGCAAACCACATCTCAGATGAATGTAAAGGGATTTAAAGGATGACCCACACCCTATTTTCCCACCCTCCCTTTTCCTGGATTCTCTCCTTCAGAGAAGAAGTAATCTGACAAAAGTGGATTGACTTGAATTCTTTAGTACCTTCAGGATGTTTTAGAATTATTTTCTGAGAAAATAATTTACTATTTACCCAATATTATTACTATTTCCCCATTCTAGCTCTTATGTTCAAAGTAGTTTGGTGAAGAGACCTGCTGGGAGAGACATGTTATCCAAGAAACACAGTTGTTGCATGGTGTCCTCAGTCTTTTTTACTCTGAAGATGACAGCAATAATCTCATTCATCTCCCAGGAGCAGAACTGGGCCCTCGATGTGTTGACCTCTTTTCTGAAGTACTCTAACAGTGAAGCTCTTCAACAGAACAACTTCACCTCAGCTAAGGTTCAATCTAATTGTAATTCAGTCACAATTTGCACACTGTTATCACAGAAACTATAACAGTCTTTCATTGTATTGGCTTACAACAAAATGCCACTGTGTCCCTATGAATTGCAAGTGCTTTCCACTGTAAAATAAACAATTACATTTGACTAGAAAAGTAGTTGTTAACGATAGCTAAACTAGCAATATACACCAGGGGGGCTGATGGCTGCCTGGGAGAATCAGACTTGTATCATTTAAAAGCACGGCATGCAACAAAATAAACATTTCTGTAAGTCTTTTCCAAACAAAGCTATCATACTAGTCTATCAAAGGGCAAATATATTTCTTTCTGTGAAAAAAATCATATGCCAGACTTAGGACTTCATCAGCCACAAATCAGCAGCTGTAAACTGTCATGACTGCACTAAAGGCAATGGTGTTATACCAGCTCTCCTGGCTGAACGCATGCGTGATGCACTCACTGAATCATCAGAAATCACACAGGGTCTCTTCCATTGCTCGTAATTACTTCTTCTCTTAAAATTATTACAGCAAACTTAGTACCACAGAAGTAAATCTTTGTCTCTGACAGGCTAGTGGCAAGACAATGGAGGCTGTAAGATTTATTATTTGCCAGGAATCTCAGGGAATGAATATCACTCACAAGCCACTTGAAAGTTAATATAAATAATAATGTAATAAATTAAAATTTATTCTCTTCTGGCAGCAATATTTCCAGGTAATATCTTTCAGACATACTACCTTTTCACCTTCCTCCTGCTTTGTAGCCAGTAACTCGGAAAACACATTCATTTTTTTACAGTTTGAAGAATTAAAGTTGGTTGTATACTGTAATAACAAGCCACCTACAACCAGGATACTTGTGTCACCGACAGCTCTACAACTCACTCCTCAAAACGTCTTTGTCCCAGTCACATACAGAGGACCATCCACTGGCTGCAAAGTACAGACCTCAGCTCAAAATATTAAAAAAGGGACCTGAAGAGCTTGTCTGTGGCATGGTGTGTGTTGAACATTACTCTTGTTAGGTACCTCAATACCCCGAGTTCTTGATACCACTGGAAATCAGTTTTATTCCCTCTAAAGCAAACCAGAGGATCCCTAGTGCTGCACCACCAGGTACCACTAGAAAGACAAACCTACTGGCAGTGCAGGAGCAATCTGGAAATGGCCAAAACAGCATCTGCTAAATTACTCAGATAAAGGCAGTGGTACAATGTAAAGAACCACAGTCATGTGGAGAACAATTCAGTTTCCTCCTTTAGCTGTTTGGCTGATCTTTGTCCTCCCTGCTCCGAGGACAGAGGGAGCAGCGGGGGTCAGCAGCAAGCACCATCATTGGCCCTTCATGGGAAATCTTCCTGCCCACCACCATGCTTTCGGGTTTCCACAGTGGTTAGTGTGGTCTCCTGCAGAGTACAAAGATCCTACCAGCATCTAGCACCCTTCCAAGTTGGAGCAGGGGCTCTCCAGCATGGCTCATGCCCCTAGGGTCTATCAGGGTCTGTATGGTCCCTGTGCCGCATATGCCATGAAAAGGACAATGCCGTATGGTATGCCAGGACCCCTTGACCTGCCCTGTGGTGAGGCAGACCTCCACTGTCCTCTCCAGCCCCACCACACAGTGGTGCAGGCAGAGACTCAGGGCTGTACCTCTCACCAGCTCCCCTCAGATAACACCCTGGGTAAGGCAGCTGGAGTCAACCAGCAATTTTCCTCTGGGAATGTGTAATTCCCAGTGCCAGGAGTCAGCAGGGAACTGGCGATAATGGGGATGCCAAAGTCCTTCTCAGCAACCATGCCCAGTGCATCTCCGCTCTCTGTTCCCAGTGGGTACTCTGGTAAGAGTCCCATGGGGAGCTGAAAGCTTTTACCATCTCATGAGTCACTGGGTACTTTATAGCTGGAAGAATAAGAAAATTCTATTGTCAAAACAGTGAGCCAAACTGCTCTCAATTTTCATGATGTCCTGAAGTCAAAGTGAGAATAAAGCACAAGTGAGAATAAGACTTAACTTCCCACTACTTACTTTTGCCTACAGAAGAACACACAATGCTGTGTGTTCAGCACACTCACAGTACTTCAGCTGGAATCACATCTTCCTGCCTTCCAAATATCCACGAACAGACTTGCCCAAAGAGACCGGACCCCCGTTCACCACCACCAACACATTGCAGTTCTCCCTTCTCTTCCACACACAGCCACATGCTT